TCGACGGACATAGCGAAACTCGTGAAAAGACTCTACGGATCCACCGATTACGTCGATTGGCGAGAATTCCTCGTCCACGCGATGGACCTGCCGACTCCGAGCTACCGGCAGATACTGATCGCGAGGGATCGTTTTCGAATTCAGGATCCCGAGTTGAACGAAGTCGTGACCCTGTCGCGGTACCGTCGAACGTCGTTGTGGTTCCTCGAGTGTATAGAGAATTGCGACAACGCTCGACGGCTTCTCCTCGACGAGTTTCAAAGAGATCGAGAGGAGCTGTACGACGAGGAGCATTATCGGGTGGACACGGAGATAACCGCGTCGGTGCCCGAGAACCGACCCTCCACCGCCTTCAACGCGACGCCGTGTTGCACGAGTACGCAGGAAATACTCAGGCGGATATTGGCCAAAGAGTTGCTGTGTCGAATGTTCATGGTCGATCGATACTCGGTCAACTATACCGCGCTGTTGTTGGCTTTCTGCAAGGACGAGAATCCGCGGGACGGATTCGGGAAAGCTCTCGCGCTCGCCATAGGTAACCGCGTGTGTACCGACGCTGAAGAGGGCGAGAGATACGTCGAGGAACTCTTGGAACGGAAGAAACTCGCTCGACCGTCCTTCCAAACTCTCGATCGCGAGGCTCTCGAGGTACGAATCGTTTCCCGCGTTCCTAGTTTAGTTAGTCGGTTAATCGTTAACCAAAGACGATGCGTTTCAGGTGACAAGTATGGTCGTCGATCGGCTGATGCACCGAGTAGCGAGGAAGATCGATCGACGTGGGGATCGCGAGACGAAAGACGCGAGAGCGTTTAAGAGTTTCGACCAGCCGATGGCTTCGGAGAGCGTGGCGAAGGTGGAATCGCTGAGCGGTTGCGAGATCCAGGACGAGCAGCCGTCGATGGAGTGCACTGCCGAACGTTACGCGACCGATCCCGAAACGGTCGTCTATTGGATCTCTCGCGACATTTGCCTCGTAAGACACCACTATCGGGTGGTGTAGGAACTTTGTTCTCTTCTCGCTTCTAATCGTTCGATCTTTCGCCGTTTCAGACCGTGCTGGCCGCGGCATTGTCGTGGGACACGTTCAGCGAAGGCAGGGGTTGCGAGACTCTCGTCGAGAGTTTGTCCTCGGTGTACCGAGAATTATGGGACCCGAATCTGAACGCGGAGCAGGACGTGGTACTGGCGCATCGCCTGCTGAATCACGACTTCGTGACACGGCTGTTGAACAGAGTCAGCAAGTTTACCGTGAAGAACCTAGACGGCATAGTCGTGGAGATTTTACGGGCGAGGGAAAAGGAGCAAGATCTGGCTGATACGTTTCCGTGAAAGAAAAAAGGAACAGCGAGTGAACGAAACGCGCGAGATTTAGGAGGACAAGCTTTAACGGGATTTATTGTTTCGATACATCACGAGCAGTAACTTGTGAAAAATTCTAATCTTCGAAATTTGAATTGCGAAAACGTCGCGTATCGCGTACACGAGGACCGCGTCGCATGTTTTTCGCGCCAAATCCGTTTCGCCGTATCGCTCGAGACGAGACTCGGCCAGCTTTTCGTAGTAATATCGGCGAAACGGTCCTCGTGTGCGTGTTCATCCGCGAATATCTCGGCACCTTAATACCTTAATGTCATAATACCTCGGTACAAGCGACGGATTACAATAATCGTACGTACATTACACACCGCGTTTGTAAATCGATTACTCTCGCATAAATACTTATGTTCTGCTTACGCTACTGCCTTCGTTTCAATCGTCGTACCTTTTACCTTTTACGGAATGCGCGCAAATCAAATACGGATCGAACGTTTAAACAATAAACTTCATATTTCTCCAGAAGACTACGAAAATATCGATTTTCTTACGACATCTCGTAAAAGCGGCCGCTCTAGACGCGCGTGCACGTAACGTTACAACGGAGATTTGTTTCGAAGGAACAACGATCGAAACAAAAATGAAAATAGTAATAGATAGCAGCAGCAGCGGCAGCACCAGCTGTAGTAATTATAGCGATAGTAGCAGTAGTAGTAGTAGCAGTAGTAGTAGTAGAATAGAGTAGTAGTTGCCATCGATCGTGCTCTGCTTCAGAAGGAGATCAACGACGCGTTCACCGACAGGAGCAAAGTTATCGAGAATATCCGAGACGTTTACCTGTTCAAAGGCGTCATGGAGAACGTCGATTACGCGAAGAACCTCGTGGAAGCGTTGTTCGCTGCGAGCGTGGAACAGATCGAACGGGAACAGATGGCGATTTCCAAGGGCAAAGACTTGGCCACCGATTCCAACGAGTCGATCGTTGCGAAACTGGCGTCGAGAGGACAAGATCTGGTGTTGGAGTGGCGATACGCGATCACCTACGAGATCGAGCGGATTCGTCTGAAGCTCGAGTCCATAGCGAACGTGGCACGGTTGGACATTGCTTTCCTGCTGGAAACGTTGCAGGGAGCCTTTCACGGCATTTACGATTCCATCGTAGACAGGTTGATCTCGTTTTGTCGTTTAATCCATCGAGAATCTTTCGTTCCTTAACCGTATCGACGAACGCGTAGGTATTGGCAAGAGATGAAGAGCGTGAACGAAATGGCGAACGTTTTCTGCTTGGCGATCGAAGAGGGTAGAAGACTGGAGAACGAGATCCTGCTGGACGGTGACCGGTTCGTGATTCGATCGAACGTGTACGTGGTGACGAGAGAGACGGGAGAGCCGACGCGCCACAAGGAAACTCCGTCGCCCCTGCGATTCCGAATATCCAACCTCGTCCATTTGATGGAGATATTCAAACGCGTGGCGCCCTACGGAACGATGGCCGAACGCACCTTCGTTTACATCCTGCAGGACTTGACGAGTCACGGCCAGGACGAGGGAGAACCGATGTTACTGCCGTGTTCGTGGTACCAGCTTAAGTCGACGGACATAGCGAAACTCGTGAAAAGACTCTACGGATCCACCGATTACGTCGATTGGCGAGAATTCCTCGTCCACGCGATGGACCTGCCGACTCCGAGCTACCGGCAGATACTGATCGCGAGGGATCGTTTTCGAATTCAGGATCCCGAGTTGAACGAAGTCGTGACCCTGTCGCGGTACCGTCGAACGTCGTTGTGGTTCCTCGAGTGTATAGAGAATTGCGACAACGCTCGACGGCTTCTCCTCGACGAGTTTCAAAGAGATCGAGAGGAGCTGTACGACGAGGAGCATTATCGGGTGGACACGGAGATAACCGCGTCGGTGCCCGAGAACCGACCCTCCACCGCCTTCAACGCGACGCCGTGTTGCACGAGTACGCAGGAAATACTCAGGCGGATATTGGCCAAAGAGTTGCTGTGTCGAATGTTCATGGTCGATCGATACTCGGTCAACTATACCGCGCTGTTGTTGGCTTTCTGCAAGGACGAGAATCCGCGGGACGGATTCGGGAAAGCTCTCGCGCTCGCCATAGGTAACCGCGTGTGTACCGACGCTGAAGAGGGCGAGAGATACGTCGAGGAACTCTTGGAACGGAAGAAACTCGCTCGACCGTCCTTCCAAACTCTCGATCGCGAGGCTCTCGAGGTACGAATCGTTTCCCGCGTTCCTAGTTTAGTTAGTCGGTTAATCGTTAACCAAAGACGATGCGTTTCAGGTGACAAGTATGGTCGTCGATCGGCTGATGCACCGAGTAGCGAGGAAGATCGATCGACGTGGGGATCGCGAGACGAAAGACGCGAGAGCGTTTAAGAGTTTCGACCAGCCGATGGCTTCGGAGAGCGTGGCGAAGGTGGAATCGCTGAGCGGTTGCGAGATCCAGGACGAGCAGCCGTCGATGGAGTGCACTGCCGAACGTTACGCGACCGATCCCGAAACGGTCGTCTATTGGATCTCTCGCGACATTTGCCTCGTAAGACACCACTATCGGGTGGTGTAGGAACTTTGTTCTCTTCTCGCTTCTAATCGTTCGATCTTTCGCCGTTTCAGACCGTGCTGGCCGCGGCATTGTCGTGGGACACGTTCAGCGAAGGCAGGGGTTGCGAGACTCTCGTCGAGAGTTTGTCCTCGGTGTACCGAGAATTATGGGACTAATAATAATAATAATAATAATAATAATAATAATAATAGTAATAATAATAATAAAAATTATGTTGGTTTGTAACGAGTCGATTAAATTCACAGACGTTTCCGCACGTCTCGGAACCTTTCGCTTACTTATCTAAATCGCTTAGCGTATCATCGATTATTCGATAATGGGAATATCCGGTACAGTATCTTTATACATAGTAAAGCGAAATCGCTTCGACTCGCGTAGTTCGCGTGTATCGTTTTCCTTTAAATTTTATCTTCGCGTTTAACGTTAACGAGCTTGTTCGAAATCGTAATAACACGGTAGAGGGAAGAACGTTGGACACCCGATAACCATGGAAAAAGGGCAACATCGATTTCTTCTCGGATGACGCGGTTTGAAATTCGATCGGTAAGAACAACGATTAAAGGAGCGCATACTGCGTGTACAGAGGAGCGTGTGTGCGTATCTTCGTGTTCGATTGCGAAACCTGTTCTCTCCCGGTATCCAACGTTTCGCACACCGCGTAGAAACGCGAACGGCGCACGGTGCAAGGCGCACTGCGCGCGGAACGCGTGCCTATCGGCGTAATTCTACCGTGCTCGTCCTCCTATTCGGTTTCGCGAGATTTCTGTCGCCGTAAGGAAGGTGCATTAGTCACAGCCCGTACTCTCACCCTTAAACGATTCGAGCGCGTCGAATCCGTACGATGGAACGTGGTGCAGCGCGACGCGACGCAACGCCACACCGCGCTATCCAATCGCGTATATTTTACGTTACACGTGATATGTCTGTGTGTGTGTGTGTCTCGATTCCACCGAAACCTTCGTTCTTCTCCTTATTTTCGTTATCCCGATCTCCGACGCGTCCGATGGATCGTCGCGCGCTCGATTTCGAAAACGCTGCCGCGAAACTCGATCGATCGATGGATCGATCGAGCGTCACGCGCGCGTTCCAAAGTTCGAGCGCGCGCGCAAACCGCTTCGGACGCGGTCGTATCGAGCGAGTGTATGCGTGTATCGCGTACGAACGCATAAACGCGTTTCGAGGAAACGCGTAGAAAATGCTAACGACGAGTGCTCTCGAATACGCGGGGTTCCGACATTAGTTCACGTTACACGCTTAAGTACCGTTTCCGTTGCCCGTCCGTCTACACGATTACGCAAGCCCCTACTACGGAAATAAACCTTTCGCGACACGATTAACCAGCGTAACGTAATAATTAATCCTCGTACGCTCGTACGAATCTTACAAAAATAAGCTTCCTCTGGATCGCGTTCGAAACCGTTGCTCGCCCCTGATTTCTTTTTACCTTTGCGCGACTAAGGCACGTACACACGCGTATATATGCACACATATGTATATACCTGGTCGATCGAGACGATGCGAGAAATCTTTGAATCGATCGTTTACGCGAATAGACGACCGATGATGGTGCGACGGTCGTTTAAAGTCGCCTACGCGCACGGGACAGCGATTATACCGGACAGATTGGATCTTTGGTTGAAATGGCAAAATCTGTCTCGTGACGTACGAATCGCGAGGCGAACGAAACGTTGGCGTCTTTTATGATTTACGCGACGGGATATCGACGTGGGGATCGCGAGACGAAAGACGCGAGAGCGTTTAAGAGTTTCGACCAGCCGATGGCTTCGGAGAGCGTGGCGAAGGTGGAATCGCTGAGCGGTTGCGAGATCCAGGACGAGCAGCCGTCGATGGAGTGCACTGCCGAACGTTACGCGACCGATCCCGAAACGGTCGTCTATTGGATCTCTCGCGACATTTGCCTCGTAAGACACCACTATCGGGTGGTGTAGGAACTTTGTTCTCTTCTCGCTTCTAATCGTTCGATCTTTCGCCGTTTCAGACCGTGCTGGCCGCGGCATTGTCGTGGGACACGTTCAGCGAAGGCAGGGGTTGCGAGACTCTCGTCGAGAGTTTGTCCTCGGTGTACCGAGAATTATGGGACCCGAATCTGAACGCGGAGCAGGACGTGGTACTGGCGCATCGCCTGCTGAATCACGACTTCGTGACACGGCTGTTGAACAGAGTCAGCAAGTTTACCGTGAAGAACCTAGACGGCATAGTCGTGGAGATTTTACGGGCGAGGGAAAAGGAGCAAGATCTGGCTGATACGTTTCCGTGAAAGAAAAAAGGAACAGCGAGTGAACGAAACGCGCGAGATTTAGGAGGACAAGCTTTAACGGGATTTATTGTTTCGATACATCACGAGCAGTAACTTGTGAAAAATTCTAATCTTCGAAATTTGAATTGCGAAAACGTCGCGTATCGCGTACACGAGGACCGCGTCGCATGTTTTTCGCGCCAAATCCGTTTCGCCGTATCGCTCGAGACGAGACTCGGCCAGCTTTTCGTAGTAATATCGGCGAAACGGTCCTCGTGTGCGTGTTCATCCGCGAATATCTCGGCACCTTAATACCTTAATGTCATAATACCTCGGTACAAGCGACGGATTACAATAATCGTACGTACATTACACACCGCGTTTGTAAATCGATTACTCTCGCATAAATACTTATGTTCTGCTTACGCTACTGCCTTCGTTTCAATCGTCGTACCTTTTACCTTTTACGGAATGCGCGCAAATCAAATACGGATCGAACGTTTAAACAATAAACTTCATATTTCTCCAGAAGACTACGAAAATATCGATTTTCTTACGACATCTCGTAAAAGCGGCCGCTCTAGACGCGCGTGCACGTAACGTTACAACGGAGATTTGTTTCGAAGGAACAACGATCGAAACAAAAATGAAAATAGTAATAGATAGCAGCAGCAGCGGCAGCACCAGCTGTAGTAATTATAGCGATAGTAGCAGTAGTAGTAGTAGCAGTAGTAGTAGTAGAATAGAGTAGTAGTAGCAGCAGTAGTGGTGGTGGTAGTAGTAGTAGTAATAGTAGAAATAGTAGTAGTGGTAGTAGCAGCAATAGTAATAGTAGTAATAGTATTTGTAGTACGATAATAATAAGAATAATGGTATTAACGATAAAAATAACGACAGTAATAATTATAGTAATAATAATAATAATA